ATTCTTGATGGTTCTTATGTTAAACCTGCAATGTATTTATTTGATGGATCTAAAAGCCTAGAATATTTGAAATAGTTTCAGCAGGATCAATTAGTGTTCTCTGTTTTAATATCTTCTCTCTCTGAACCTTTGATTGGCCAGGTAATAAAACACAAGATAGCTATATCTATGTGGCTTGCTCTTGAGCGATTATTCACCTAGAAATCTCAGGCCAGATTTTTTGCATCTACATAATCAGATTACTAATTTAAAAAGGCCTCTAACTCTATTTCTGATTATTACGAAAAGGTAGTGATGATTTCTAAAGCTTTAAGCATTGTTAAGAAGCCTATTGATGATGTCGATTTTATTATCTATTGACTAAGTGGCCTTGGTTCAGATTATGAATCTATAGTTGCTTCCATCACTACTAAATCTGGCAAATTATCTCCTAAAGAAGTTCTCAACTATTTATTGATTCATGAAGCCAGACTTACAAATCATTAATTTGCCACTTCATCAGATGTTTTAGCTAATCTCACCACTAAACCTACTTCATTTTTATCTGATGAGACTCAACATGTTCCAAGAGGCCAATTTCCTTTTAGAAGTAGAGGATGTTATGGACGTTTTAGTTACAGAGGTGGGAGAGGTCATTTTTGCTGAGGTCGTGGTTTACTTTGGAGGTAGTCGTGGCATTCTTGGACCTATACCTAGTCAATCTGATTATAATCATCCTTGCCAACTTTGTGACAGATATCGTCACACTACACATACATGCTACCATCATTACAATTACTCCAACAGAGATGTTGTACATGTTCAGTGGGAGAGTCCATTTGCTTGGACATGTGAGGTACGAATGATCAGTACCAATAAATTGTTACGTCTTCCTTTTTATGATGATTTTTTTTTTTTTTTTTGAGATGGCCAAACAGATTTTAAAACGGGCCGGTGTCCCATTGAAGGCAAAATTGTTGGGTGTACGACCCGTAGTATCCAAAGATAAAGAAAGGAAGATGAAGGAAGCAGTCAACACGCTCATGCTTGTGGCCATATTAATTGCCACAGTGACATTTACAGCTGGTTTTACTTTACCAGGTGGGGTAAAGAGTTCGGAATACCCAAACCCCAAAGAGGCACTATAGTTTTGACCCATAAAGGGCTATTCATAGCATTCATGATTTTCAACACAATTGCCATGGATAGCTCCACTCTTGGTTCTATTCTTCTTCTTTGGGTCCCATTAACTAATCATCATTACGCAGAAGTAGCATATATGGGTGCTCAGTCATCTGTTTATGTGGCTCTTTCTAACCGTGCCTGCGTCATTTCTAGCTGCTATTCTTTTGGTGGTGAGCACAAACGTTGTGCTTACAGGACTTATAATAGCCATTGCATCCATCCTCATCTACTCCATCTACTCTTTTTCTTCCATCACCCGATTCTTACTAGTTTACATCCTTCATTGCACATATTATCTAAAAAATTGGCAACGTCTTGCGACGCTGATTATGTGTACTTTCGGAAACCATGATGACGATGCTATTTTCATTGACGATCAAGTCAGCAGACTAAACGAAGAAGTGGATGAAGATGGTATGAGAAATCAAATAAAGGAAACTCACAAAGTCAATGGAAATGATGCAATCAGAAGCCATTTGTGAGGTTAATTAATATTAATTTTAGAAGCTGTGACTCACCGCCGTTTTGTTGTCTTTCACCATCACTTCATTTGCCTATCCCTGCTCCATGTGTCTCTATACGTAAGACACATAAAAGGGATTCGAGACCATATTACATTTTCGTAGGTTTTAATTTAGTATATATCATGATCTTTATGATCAACAGTAATCCGAACATCTTTTGATAGTTAAAACTTCCTTTCTTTCATTTATTTTTTTTTTTTTTAAAATTCAACTGGAAACTTTGAAATTTTGAAACTATGAGATTTGGTTCCTCTCACCATATTCTATCTCAAAACATATCTCCATACCCAATCTTATTTATTCATTTAATTATTGTTTTGGTTTAATGGTGTGAGATTACTAGTTATGATATTAAAATAATTATTTATCATAATTTAACAAATTTTGGTATTTCTTTTGCCCAAATATGATCTTTCTATCCTTTCTGCAACTCATATATGTTTGCTTCTTCCTTTGGGTTTTTCTATTTTATTATTATTATTTTTTTTCTCTTTTCCTTCTTCAACTCATCCATCCTCCAGCACGTCTCGTCTCTTATCTTTCTCCCACGCGATTTTTTGTTTTCTTCTTTTGGATCAGCTTGATTTGGTTCTTCTTTCCCTGTTTATAAATTATCTGCACAATATAAAAAATATGAAAAGATTTTGTAGCAAAAATATTTCTTATACTATAATGAAGTGATGAGAAGAAAATTGTAATGATCAGAAAAAAAAAATAATACCAATAATAAAAATAAAATTAATTAATTAAATTATCAAAAAGTGTTTAAAGTTTATTTTTATTATTTTTAGAGCAAATATATCAAGAGAAAATTGTGACTTAATAAATTTTATGCCAATTACATTATTGATAAGTCTTAAATTTAAATTTTCACAAGGTTAAGAGTGAGATTTTACCTTTTACCTTAAGTTTATGATAAAATTTTTAAGATGTCCTTAATAAATAAAGGGAAAAAAGGATAAAGGGTAGAGCGCACGTTTCTTCTTTCATTTTTGGAGACCTAATTCAAGAAATATCGAGAGAGAGAGAGAGAGAGAGAGAGAGAGAGAGCAGAGGAAAGAGAAATGACATCCAGAACCTTCAGCTTCTTTCTTTCGGTTCCAGCGTGCTCTGTATTTTAGGAGAGAGCTAAAAAAATTTCGATCCAGAAGCTTCGAACCTTCAGGCCTGCAATTTCTGTCCATCATCTCCATCCATACTCTCCATCTTCCTTCCGTTGCCGTTCAACTCATTAGTGTGATTGAGAGTGTCTGACATGGTTCTGTGCGTCTTCCCTATTCTAGCTGCTGTGGTGGGTCGAAGTCCCTTCCTCCTTTTATCACCGGTGTTGTCTGCGTGGGAAGTAAGTCGCTGGAAAGGTGGTGCATGGAGGAGGGTCCAGTAATTGCTGAATGAAGTTGCTGCTGGTCTTTTTGTTCTTTTCTCTGTTGCTGCAGTAACTGGACGCCCTCCTTCCCCTGTTCAGCTTCGTAACGTCATCGGCATGGGTTTGTTAGAGAATGTCGTCCGTCACTACTGTCATGAATTTCTCCTTTTCCTTTCTCCGCCATCATTCATTTCAAGCCTCATATATGCATTTGATTTCGGTGTGGTCAGACCTTCTTCCTTCTTCTCCATTCTTTCTGTTCATAGGCGGCAAGCACACAAAAAAAAAAGCTAGTCTGGCATTTTTGGAGGCCCGATTCATGAGTTTGGAAGCTGGTCTATTGCTATCTTCTCCTATCTTCCGTCGGTCTCTTTCTTCTCCTTCCCTTTTCTGCTGTTATTGATTTAGGTGAGTAGCTTAAACAGTTCTTCTTCTTGTTTTGTGCGTGCGTGTGCTGAGATAATTAAGGTTGTGAATTTTATTCTTCCTCCCTTGTAATGTCGTACATATTGAGTTTGAAGGGGAACTTGATTTAAGTTGAAACTATAGAGATCAAGAGGATGATGGTTTGGCTCTGAACTTTATTTGAATATGATATAATTAACAATGCTGGGAAAAAAAAAATTAGGCAAGTGGTTGTGGTTAGGAAGCTTTATTGAATGAGTTAGAATTAATGTCCAGTATGTATTTGTTGAAAGGTCTAAGAGATTATCTTATCTCCATTAAATACTTTAGCTTTGGCTTAAGTAATACTTTGTGATGTAATTGAGGATGCTTTGAAAAACTTTTAATCATTTGGATCAATCATGTTGCGGCAAGGATAGATGGAAGTTTAATAAAATTATATTACTTATTATGAGGGGATTGGAAGAGAATTGGAAAAAAAAAAGAAAAAAAAAGAAGAAAAAAAAAAGTAGTACGTGCAAGATGTTTGCTCATATGCATATTAGAAAGAGTTGTGGTTGGATATGATTTTTTTTTAGATTTCATTAACTCTTATGGGTACATATTTAGTTTGGATATTAATTGTTCATAAATTTAATTTGAATCGTATGAAGAATTTTGAGTATGAAATTGTGCGGAGACAAGTTGCATTCTATAAAATTGTATGGATAATAATTATAAATGATAATGTTTAAAAATTTAATTTGGGAATGCCTTTGCGTTGCTTGATAGAAAGGGTGATAGGAGAACTTGGAATTTAAAGTGATTAATTATGCTACATATATATATATATATATATATATATAATATTAATATTAATTAAGTTTTGTTGCTTGTACTTGACAAGAGCTGGAAAGAGTTTATCAAACTTAATTATGCCATTGAATTTTCTTTTTATATTAGATAGGGCATTTAGCGGAAGGAAGGTTTGATTGGGTTCTAAGAAGTTAATTTTAATACTCAAGCACACTTCAGGTAAGTGAATAGCGTCCCAATTGATATTTTATTAAAATCTCCTTTATTCAAATATTGCATTTTTATACAAATCCTTTTTATAGCAACAATGTGATTATTGGATATTATGTTGATTAAAGTATTTTATTTTTGTGAAGTTATCTTTACCAGATTTGATAATTTTATTTGATCAGTAAATACAAGTTTGGATTTTAATTATGGGATTTTCATTCTGAAAATTATTGAATTGCTACGAAAAATAATTCATACGAGTTTGATGTTAAAAATTTTTTATTTAATAAATGCAAACATGAGCATTGGATATAAAATTTGTGTAATGACCTTAAAAAAAATCCTCCTAATTTATATTTTATTTAAATTAATATTATGGCAAATGGAGATGGGTGAGTTAGTGAAACTTATGTTAATAGCTTACTTGAAGATCTAACATTTAAATTTTTTTTTAAAAAAAGATTAATTTCATTTAGTTTAAGATCGTAGAAAAAGTATTAAAGTGTCCATTTTTTTTATGTTATTAGAAGGAATATTGGGCTTTCTCTTATAATTTTTAGCAATTTTCTAAAGTTTATATTTATATCTTCCTCACCCGATCAAATGCGGAGAAAAACGCGTCATTTTCTTTCCTTCTCCTCCTTCACATTTTCAAAGAACCCAGAACCACCGCCTCTGCTCTTCTTCAATCTCAGCTTGTCTACAATGTTCTCCATCCTTCCTCTTCAATCTTCAAAGGCACCAGTATGGGTTTATTAGAGAGCGCCGTTCATCGTTGCTGCCATAAGTTTCTCCTCTTCCCTATTCTGTGATCATTCAGTTCGTCCCCTGCACTTGTGTTTGAGTTGGTTGCTGTCAGTTATTCTTCCTCCTCTGCCAGGCAGCTTGTCGATGTCAACAGGTGCGACCGCTCTGTGCACTGCTGCTGGAAAATTTCACCGTGAGTTTTTCTTCCTCTGGTTGTCGTTGTTTTCTGTCTGTGTGTGTCACTGTTCATTCTTCTTCCTCCTTGCTTTGTGCTGTCGAAAATAGTTCTCCTCTCCTATCTGAGCTGCTGTGGTTCAATGTACAAGGTTCCTTTCCTCTTCCCCTGTGCAGCGTGATAGATTCGTCCTTCTTCCTTCTTTGTTCTGCCGTGGTTAATATGAGGTGGGGAGATTCTAATCCTTCACTTCTTCATTGTTCTTTCTGTGCTACTTGGTTTGATTATGATTTCTTATTTATTTTATTACTGCTGTGCGAGTTATGAGGGGGAAAATTTGATCGATCAACAGCTTGAGTTTATGAATCTGATTTTTTTTTAGTTGATAAATCTATTCATGCTAGAATTGGGAGAAGGAGGAATTAGATTTAATTTTTTTTAAAGAGTAACTGATTTTTTTCAGTTAAAGGATTGGAATTGGGTTGGTTGATTAATTTCAATGTTATAATTTGCGGAAGATGAGAAGAAAAGGGAAGAAGCTTGGTATGAGTTTGAGAATTAATACATTATAAGTGTTGGATAAAATGTTTGTTAGGAGAAGATTGCTTGAATATGTATTTTCTAAAATTTTATTGACTCTTAAGAGAAGTATGTCTAGTTTGAATGTTATTGATCCATGAACTTGAACCTTGCAAAGAAATTTAATTATGAAATTAATATGTAAGTTGAATTCTTGGGAATGGTATAGTTGTTAATAAATTACTGAACAAGAGATTTAAGATTAGAAGGTTTTAATTGAATAATTGATAGTAATGCACCTAAGGTTATTGAGACAAGCCTAAGAGATAATCATATTTTAAGTAAATAGATCGATTTGGCTTGAACAATATTGAAGAAATTATAGATGTAAATGACGATAATTGGATATATTTTAAGAGATGAATTTTGATATTTGGAATTTTGAAACGATTGAAGTCGATTGGGATTGTGTTAGAAGTGAAAAAAAGTTTTTATAGATTATAGGGAATTAATTAAAGTTTCAATTATTAATATTCTTATAGGATGTGCGAAAAAAAAGGGGGAATCTTGATAGGAGTTAAAAGGAGAAAACCTTTGAAATTTGAGAATATTACAGGTAAGTGAATAGCGTCCCAACTGATTTTTTTTTTTTCAAAATGCCCTTTACTAAAATATTACGTTTTTTTAAATCATTTTAATAGTATTAATGTGATTATTGGATATTTATTAATTAACATTTCTTTATGATTGATAAATTAGCTTTATCAAATTTGAAATGTTATTTGATCAATTAAATCAAGTTTGAACTTTGATTATGAGATTTTTATTTTATCAAATATTGAATTGATACAGAGAATGATTCATGCGAGTTCGACGTTGAAATTTTTTTTTTTAATGCAAGCGTGAGCATATGATATGAAATTTGATTCTGGCAAGTTTCAATTCCTAAAAGTATTCATGCAAGTTTGATTTTGAGAATAATAACTGTATCTGAAAAGTGATGATTTTCTCGCATATTTGAAAATGGTTTTAAAAATGGACTTTATATAGAACACTGGTTGCTAACGGAAGTTCCGTTAGCCCTTGGCGCGCCATGGTACACCTAGCTAACAGAGTGTTTATAAGAGGTGCTAGCCCCGTGCGATGGCCAACGCACGTGGAATGGAGAGATAGTTATTCGTGAGCATCGTACTCATGTTCGTTTCATGGCTTTAAATCACGTTTGGTTAGCGTTACCCTCGTGGACTGTGTGTCCACGTTTGTTTCGTGGCTTCGGCTGCGTTTGGTTACTTACCCTAGTAGACTGTGTGTGTTCACGTTTGTATTCTTGGTACAAGCCACGTTTGGTTATTTACCTTTGTGGATTGTGTGTTCACGTTTGTTAATTATTCTGATAAGTCCCTATAATTATGAAACCAATCATTTGATGATTTCATATTTTATTGATTTTTGTTTAGTAATTTGTTTATAAATATTTATTTCATTTAAGTGACTTCTTAAAAATCAAGTGATATTATCATTTGCTATGATAGTTCAATGGTTCAAGATTTTATTCAAAATTTTATAGAATCATTTTATTTTGAAGTTTATATATTTTTTTATGGAAATTGTTGTCTCTTTAATTTACATGGTTATTTCAAACTTTTTTTTATTCATGTTAAATTATTTATTATTGGGATGTTATTCACTGAAAAATTATTTTTGGTCTCAGATAGCATAATTGATGCTGTACGTCTTGCTTACTAATGATGGATGCTTGCGGAACAGAATGGAGGCTTGTTCTGTAAATATGAAATTTATGTATTATGTCATGAGACATATAATTAGGTGCTCCACATAACTTATAATTAGAGTTCTTAGTTTATTATACATTTTGTCTACTGGTTGGAAGGAGCCGAGCTCCTAATTGATATAATGTTTAAAGAAAATTTTTGTGATACAAAATTTTTGGGAGATTCTATTTATAGAGGAGGTTCTGTCAAAATTTTTACAAAATATTGAAACAATTAGTATAATGATTAGTATCAATAGTATTAAAATGTTAGTGTAAAACTGAGTACATTTTAATTAAAGGAAATAAACCTTGAACTTGTGGCTTACGGGATGTATGATGTGGTTCACATCCTGTGCCGGTCACCCCTATTTTTGGGGCGTGACAAAAATATATAAAAATTAGTTAAATAAGTATAAAATATTAATAAATACTATCAAATATAATCCAAAATTTACACCTATCTATCTATTAAAAATTAAAAATATGCACTTATCACATCAATTTTCATCTAAGATTAAATTGTTATTATTCCCTTTAATCGAGTTATATTTTCTTTTGGTAGACTTCAGTCATAACAAAAAAGTAATCATAGGTTTCCACATCACTTTGAACGAAGAAAGAAAATATATACATTTCTTGTACAGGAATTGACAATGACTTTTTTGTATTTACAACTATATGATGTATACACTATATTAACATTTTTTTATTTGAAGTACATTACATTTTCCACAAGAAAGCATTTTATGATTAATGCATATATAACTCCCTTCTTTTGTTTTTATCGTTTTTGGCCCCCATCATGAGAAAGCAAACAACTTTTGAAGTGGCTTTTGTGAAGGGGGTGTGCCTGCATGGTGGTGTTCCTTGAATCAAGTTGCGTTTTCTTTTTTCTTTTTCTTTTTCTTTTTTTAAATTCTGTCTCTGTTGTGTCCGAGCTGTTTTCTTTAGTAGCTATCTTCTTGTTTCTATCTTGTTTCCTTGCCTTGTTTCAACTAACTCTTATTTTTAAGGCCGAAGGGGATGGTAATTAATTAATGAACAAGTAAGGAATTGACTCTGATTAGAGAGAGCAAAGTGCCTCACCAAAGGCAAAAGTGATTGGCTGATTATAAAAATAAAAGCTGGTATTATAAAGATACGAAGGACAAAAGATGAAACATTTTCTAATTAATTAAATTCGTTTCATACACCAACCTTGCTGTCTATTCGTTTTGACCCCACATCATTCAATAAACGCTACTAAAATAAAGTCCTCGATTAATTTTATAAAAATATATATTGTTTTTTCTTTTATTCTTAATCCTAATTGCTAATGCACTCAATGATGAATGAGAGATACATTTATATAAATATTTAAGTTAATAAATATAAAGAGTAAAATGAATTTTTTGTTTACATGTATAAGGTTATTAATATTTTGAATTAAGATTAATCAAGAGAAAAAACTTATATTTTTGATCCGAGAGAGTATCAGCTATTACTCATATTAACTTATTCCTAAACATAAAATATAACCACTTTATGAAATCACGCCACCACTTAATCATACCCTTTTTTTATTGTGCACGCTAACCAATCATATTTTAAAAATTAATTTAGTCCAATAGTCCTTCATGCGTCTTTTCTCGGATCTCCTTTTCATTTCTTCTTGGTCCTCAGCTTTAAAACCCTTGTTCTTGATGAGTTGTTTTCATCTCTTCCAAATTTATTTCTTCTCTTGCTACTCTTCTGATTGCACATTGTTCCGCACTATTTTCCGCGAGAAAGGTGGATCAGGTGGAAATTCCCATGGAAGCTAATAATTCAAACTGGAAGGGACCATGCTACAGAAGATTGCAGGAACTGTTGAAGAAACGGTTCATTTCATCAGTCAATCATGTTCCAATTGGCGTTATTGATGACACCATGAGTTATCAACTATACAACGCTGTTCATGATGAGAATGAAGATGTAAGTAAATTTCTAGACGTCTTGGAGAGAGTATGTACAGGAAAACGACTTGATTGTTCCACCGTCTTACATCAAGCCACTCACACGGGTGATTCGTTGCTCCATGTTGCAGCTGAACACGGGAGAACAAGGATTGCAGAGCTGCTTATTGATAATAATTTTTTGCTGATTGTGACAAACGCAAGAAAAGACACAGCGCTTCATGTTGCTGCAAGAGCCAAGAATATTGAAGTGATGAGAGTCATCTTATCCAAATTTGACGATGCAAGCAGTAAGGATAACTTTATTTTGTTACCCAATAAGTCTGGGAATAGAGCTCTGCACGAAGCTATTCTGAGCAAACATCGTGAGGGGTTTGAGTTCCTTCTAAGTGAACAAAGTGAAAGTACTTGGCCACTCTATTGGGATACCCACCCAGTAGACTCACCAATATATGTGGCAGTCCAAACTGGGGATGTTGAAATTCTCCGTTGTCTCTTGCAGATTCCGTTTCCTTCAGACCGGGACATTTACAAGAGTCAGGGAAATTCTCCACTTTTTGCCGCCATAATAGAACGCAATATTGGTATGTATATGTGTGAGATGCCAAATTAATTGATCAATGTGTTGTTTTTTCTGGTTGTCATGAAATTTTCTTTTTATATTAAGTACGTTTGAAGATTTTTTTCTCCACCTAAATAGTTTAAACCTTGGCTAGACATATTCCAAATTTTATATATTTATAATTAATTTTAGAATTACTAAGATATGAGATTTCTTTCTTTAATACTCAGTCATCTATTTTGTATGGGCTTGTACTTTTTTGAGCTTTTTGGGGGTCTCATGTTCACCATTTTTTAATTTCTTCTCTCTTTTTTTATTCTCTTGCTTTTCTTTCATTGTTCGTTTTCTTTTTCTTTTTCTTTTTGGCTTGTTTTTCCTCTTGGTTTTTTTATCTTTTTTCCTTTTCTTCGTGTCCAAAGTCAAATGGCTTTAATATAGTGGGTCCCAATTTGAAATTTCAATTAAGTCTAGAAGAATTGAAATGGAAATAATTTTAATAATAAAAAAATTAAAATATCCTTAATTTATTATGCAAAATTATTAATTATTAATTTTCATACTTCACTTATTAATTTATTAATATGAGTTATAAATTACATCATTTGTCATATAAGCAGTAAACATTAATTGCCAATTTGCTAATTTTATTTATTAATTTACTAACATCAATTGTAAATTATTAAAATTAATAAGTAAAGTTAGCACTTTAATAACTAATATTGCTGCTTGTGATCGAACAATTGATGTCAAGTTTTATATAATTATTGACATGTCAATTCAGGTAATTTATAACTCATATTAATAAATTAATAAATAAAGTAAAAAAATTAATAATTAATAATTCTACATAATAAGTGAAGGGTACTTTGTTCTTTTCACAATTAAAATTATTTTTGCTTCAGTCCCCCTAGACTAAATTAAAGTTTCATATTTTTTTGGGATTCAAATAGTAATTAATTGAGTCACATGATCCTTAATTGAAATTCTCTCAATGCTTTATGTCAAGTATATATATTGTTTGATAATTATTCACTTCACCAGAGTAGTTTAAACCACTTGGTTAAACATATTTCAAGTTTTATATATTTCTGGTCTAGTCTCTAATTACTAGATGTGTCTGTTTTTTTTTTTTTAATATAACCCACTTTCAATTATATGTGAAATATGTCTGCTTTTATGTATTGTAGATTTTTTGAAGGAGATAGTAAACAACAAAGAAGAGTTGATGTTCCTGACAGATGAAAATGAAAACACACCCTTTCATTTTGCAACATTCATTGGTTACGTGGAAGGTGTTCGTCAACTTTTGAACAAATCCACCCTTGTCGCCTTTCAACGAAACCAACGAAGTAATCTTCCAATTCACTTTGCTTGCGCTATGGGCCATGTTCGGGTGGTTGAAGAATTGCTACGCGTACAAGGGCCTTGTACCAGTTTCTGGCTCAATAAGAAAGGTCAAAACATTCTTCATGTTTCTGCAATGTGCGGTCAAAACAAGATGGTAAAATACCTATTGAAACACCCAAAGATCCATTCCAAAACTATTAATGAGAAAGATCTAAATGGAGACACCCCACTGCATCTGGCTTCAAAATATTTGCATGTTTGGACTCTATTCCATCTATCACAAGACAAGAGAATAAATGTGAACCTTGTAAATGACCAAGGTTTGACAGCTAGAGATATTGTCCGAAGGCAGAGTAAATTTCCAAGGACTCGTATAGAGGTATGTTGAAGCATCTATATATCTAATATAGTTTTTTAATAATCTCTTTCTTTTTCTAACAGGTTTCATTTTAGACAAATTGCAGTCTTGTAAAAGAATATAGCATGTAAACATCCACTTTAATTTGATTACCTTACAGTTTGTAGCATCCAAGATTTTAAAATTTGCTGGTGGCTCGCTTAAACAAATTAAGCGGGGACCAAAACCTGTGGCCAATAAAGAATGGAATGTGAACGATGGGGCCAACACACTCATAATTGTGGCCGTACTGGTAGCTACGGTGACATTTGCAGCTGGTTTCACAGTACCAGGTGGAGTACACAGTTCGGATGACTCAGTCCCTAAAGAAAGAGGCATGGCGGTGTTGACAGATCAAACCCTGTTCAAAATATTTATGACTTTCAACACCATTGCTATGTATTGCTCCACTTTCGGTTCTATTATTCTTCTTTGGAGGCACCTGGGTGATCGTCGACTTTCAATACGAGCGTATCGTATCTCTAAAATTTTTGTCCAACTGGCTCTTGGAACCATGCCAGTGGCATTTATGGCCGCCATACGTTTGACTGTCAGTAATAATAGCTTGCTTGCAGATCTTACAAGTATCATTGCGTTCATCTTCATTTCCCTTATACTACTACTTCGCATTTTAGCATGTTTTCCTTTTGGAATGCACCTTCCAGTTTTCTATCAAGTTAGAAAACTTCTTCTTTGGATTATTATTATTTTATTATGTGGGACTAAGGATGGTAGAGTTTATGATGTTGATGAAATCCAACAAGACGATGAAGCCGGTAGGGCCAACACAGTCAACGCCACGCAAGGGAAGAACCGTGTCACATAGCGTCCCTTGTGCCGATGATCACCCTGGTATTATTGTAGAACCCAGTCGATGGCTTTCTCAGTAATTAGGTAATTAAAGTTTTGGTCAACTCTTCAGTTCATTTTGTTTTGGATACATTCCTCAATATAAGAAGGCATTCCAAATTAAAAATGTTCTTTGGTCAGAACATCAGCACAGCAAGTTTGAAGAGAGAGTTGAGCTCACAATCAAGTATCTAGTCCAATTATTGTGAATAATAGTAAACTTTTTTATTAACAGTTGAAGTTAAAATATTTAGGACATTTCGTTTTATCATTTATCGTTTTTAATTATTTAGATACACTTTCTTGTGTAATTTTGTAGAATATCTATTATTCTTATTGTGCATGACTTTTGAATAATGTGACTTTTTAATTGAATTATTTTTAAAAATTTTGGTTATTTGGTTGCCTTGACAAAATCTCACTTCTGAAAATTCACTCAATCTAACTAGATTAGATTCAAGTATTTTCGGGCTCAATTGAAGATAGCTTTTCCAAAGGTGTTTTCTACATTTGCACAAAAGTCTAACAAAAGAATTTTATAAGCTAACAAGGTTGGTTCAATTCTTAATGAGTTGACTGATGCCTCACAAGAATGTGAGTTCAAATATTACTACTAATTTAAGAACTGTGTTAGTGGATCGTGAGTGTTCTTGAAATTTTAAATACCTCGATCCTAATCAACCTCTAAATCCAGTTTAGCTAAATTTAAGGACTTTTTAGCTAATTTGTGTTTTATCTTAATCTTGATGAAATGATGAATAAGAAAAGAAATACAAGCCATAAAAAAAAGCGGAAAAAAAAATTCACATGCGAAGTGATCTTGTTGTACTCATGAATTATCAATAAGGGCTTAAATAAAATTTTCCTCGGTGGCCCAAGTCCAAGGATTTATGGGTAGTTGAAATCATCGAATAGATCTAGATTGATATTAATTTTTAATATTTATACTATTTTTCTTTTTTGAGTTGCAATATAACTTACTAGAGACGTTATATGATCAATCAGGTCAATTATACTTAGGTCTTCCAGCTGATTGTTTGGTGGGATGAACGTGAGTACCTTATTTGGGAACCGTTTGATCAATTATTACATGATTATCTTGCCTTTTTTTAATAAAAAAAAATTACGCACATGTGTTCTTCTATTGAGAAGCATAGTCGCTTGTTGTTGAATATGTGTACCTCTTTTAATAAAAATTTGAAATTATCATGCTTTTAACCAATCGGATAAGGTCACTTTTCAGGGGATGGTAATGTCATTATTAAACGGCCCAATTCAGATTATGGGCCTTATCACACTATTATTGGGCCAGCCACAACAATGTGTCCAGTATGAGGAATTTTAATTTGCTTGCTTTTAAATCTTAATAATGATGGAATTTTATCATTTGAGAAAATATAATAGTTTAAGAGCTAAATATTTATTAAATTAACAGAATTCATTCATATTAATTTTACTAACTTTAATTTTGGAAAAAATACCTCTATTATATTATTTATATGGAAAGTTTAGGCATTCTTGAACTAAGCGTTGGTGATAGATTTAGAAATCAATTTTATATGGTGCATGTTAAATTTGTCCTTAAATTTTTACTTGATGACTTCCAATACTTTATTAATTTTATTTGTGTTTTTAATTAAATTAGAAGTTATCTAATTGATTAACTCTTAGCAAAAAATTGATTAAATTGCTCATTAATTGTGAGGAAGGACGTTGATAGGTTTCGTGGTGGCCTTGAAAGGCTAATGGATCAAAATATGACATTAAAACTGGGTAAAATTTCGTGATTGTCTTGATAGGTTTCTGAAATTTCATTTTGGCCTAAAATCTTTGCAAAAATTGCACTTTAACCCTTAATTTTATGAAAATTCCATTCTAACCCCATATTTTCTCAAAATTATATTTTTGCCTTAGGCTTCCTAAAATTTCCCTTTTCACCCCTATGCTCTCAGAAATTACATTCACACTACTATACTTGTCTTGCCTAAGTCCTAACCTTGCAAAAAAAAAAAAAGCCTTAAAATGCCTCCAAGAAGCATGAATATGTAAAAGGTTGAGATGGACGAGATGAGATGTAGGATATTAGAGTTAGAGGCTACCACAGAAATACAATGAGCTTTATTAGAAACTCACAAAGAAAACTTGAGAGGAGATTTAGGTAGTAGCAATTTGTCACCCACTGACAACTGTCATTGTCCTTGACAATAGTCATTCCATTCTAGTGACATGAAGGTAGACATTCCTAGATTTAAGGGAAGACACCAACTAGACACATTTGTAGATTGGCTTCAAAATGTGGAGCACGTATTTGAATATAAAGAGATTCCAGATGAGCATAAAGTCAAGATTATTGCCCTCAAACTCAAGAAACATACCTCCACATTATAGGAAAACCTTAGGCAAAAATGAGAATGAGAGCAAAAGCACAACATTAAAACCTAGGAGAAAATGAGATGCTAGCTTATCGAGAAATTCTTACCAAACATTACCACCAAGATAACTTTATCCAACTGCAAAATCTTCGATAAAGATCCTTGTTTGTGAAAGAGTATGCCAAAGAGTTTGAAACTTATGATGAAGTGTGACATTCAAGAGAAGCAAGAGCAGACAATAGCCAGATACCTTGCAAGTTTAAACACTAACATTAGTTGTCTAGTCTAGCTTTAGCAATATTGGATCTTAGATAATGTAACCCATCTAGCCATCTATGTTGGTCCTTGTTTATGGAAGAGTATACCAAAGAGTTTGAAGCTTATGATGAATTGTGACATCTAGGAAAAGGAGAAGCAGATGATAGCCTGATACCTTGTAAGTTTAAATACTAACATCAATCATTTAGTCCAGCTTTAGTAGCATTAGACCTTCGATGATGTAATCCATTCAGCTATCTGTGTTGAGAAGCAGACACCCAAGAGATCCTTTTTTCAGCCTTCTTCCTCTAAGGGTTATTTAAATGCTCGCAAGGCAAAGTTTTAGCAGCCCAGCCTCTTAGGCAAGTTGTGACCCAGTGCTATGCTCAAGCCTTCACCAAAGATTGCCAGGAAATTTGGCTCTAAAGTGCCTAATTACTTTAAATACCAAGTATTCAGCCATATCATTGTGGATTATCCTACTCGAAGGGTTGTCATCATTAGGGAAGGGCAAGTTTATAAAGCACCTGAAGAAGATGAGGAGGAGACTGCATCTTATGAAACTGAGCCAATATATGATGAAAAGGTTAGGTTGTAAGCATTCGTGATTAGATAAAGTCTACATACAATTGTAATTAAGGAAGAACCTTAGCTACGAAGTAACATTTTTCACACTCATTTCACGACCTAAGGAAAAGTTTATAATATTATTAATGATAATGAAAGCTATGAAAATGTAGTGTCTGACTATATAGTGGAGAAATTGAAGCCACCAATGCACAACCATCTACATCCTTACAAGCTTCACTAGCTTAATAAGGAAAGGGAGGTAAAAGCTTTTAAACAATGCATTATTACTTTTTCTATTGGAAATAGGTATTGTGATGAAATTTTATGTGATATTATTCCCATGGATGCTGCCACCTTCTTTTGCGGAGATCATGGCAATATGATCGACATGCTATGTATGATGAGTATGTAAACACCTATTCTTTTATAAAAGACAGAGTCAAGATCACATTAGCATCTCTAGCACCCAGTGAGATCAGCTAAGCCTCGAAGAAATCTAAGCCATTAGTGACTTTGATGACCAAGGAGGAGTTCAAGGTGACAAAGTCTAAAGCCTAAATAATGAGTTTTATTCTAGTGCTCGAGGCAAATGATGGAACTATCAAACCTCTTGGAGTTATGCCATTATTGTCTAAATTTTCAAATGTGATACTTGATGAGATACCACCAAGATTGCCACCCATGCGAGACATATAGCATGCTATTGACTTCTAAGAGTAATCATTCCTAACAAACTTGCTTATAGGATAAGTCCCCAGGAACATGCCTAAGTCCAATAATAAGTTAAAGAGCTTTTCAAGAAAGGGTTAGTTCGAGAAAGTGTTAGCCAATGCATTATACCTATTAGTCTAGTACTTGAGAAGAATGAGAGTTGGAGAATGTGCATTGATTATCGTGCTATCAATAAGATCACTACCAAGTATCGGTTCCCAATACCCCAGTTTGATGACATGTTAGATCAACTACATGGTTCCACTACCTTTTCTAAAAGTGACCTTCATAGTAGACACCACCAAATCAGAACTCGACCAGAAGATGAGTGGAAGATTGCTTTCGAGACAAGAGATGGCTTATATGAGAGGAATATGATGCCTTTTGGGTGGACAAATGCCCTTAGCACGTTCATGCACCTAATGAATTAGGTATTGAGACCTTTTATTGGCAAAGTTGTTATTTACTTTGACAACATTCTTATTTACAGTAAGAGTCAGGAAGAATACTTAGATCACTTATAGTAAGTCTTGCAAGCCCTGTGAGAACAGAAGCTTTACCCCAATTTAAAGAAGTACACCTTCCTTATTGATGAAGTTGTGTTTTTGGGTTACATCATCACCATAAAAGGTCTTCAAGTTGATCCAAGCAAAGTTGAAGCCATTAACAATTAGCCAATTCCAAGATCTACTCAAGAAGATCAAAGCCTCCATAAATTAGTTTCTTTCCATATGAGGTTCATCTATAATTTCAGTATAAATTCAATTGTGTTTTTGTAATAGAAATATTTGTAAAATTAAGACTTAAGGGATGTGTGATATGGTTTATATCTTGTGCCAGTCATCCTTTATTTTTGGGGTGTGACAATGTCACTCTCTCAAAAATATTTGGGAGAAAAAAGACATATTTGTCTCAAAAATATCTTAGAAGAATCTTCTCTCATATTGTCAAGAGAAACCTATAACTTTCTCTCAAAACACTTTTTTCTCAAATTTTTTTGAGATAAATTATATAGTGTTACTATTTGGGCTAAAATATACTCTCTCTATTTAAAATTATGAGGCATTTTTAACTAAATTTCACTCTCAATAAAGTAGTTATCTACTTTCAAACTAACCACATCTTTTCATATTTATTTCTATTAAACACCCTACAATAAATATAAAATCATTTATCAATAGTAGCACTTTTGGAAAAAAGACAATAATTACACCTTGAAACACTAAAAATGTTTTACATTTTTTAACATTTAACTCCTCAAAAAATGCCTTACATTTTTAAATGGAGGGAGTATTTCATTATTTAATAATATATATAATATATATAAGTTCAAGTTGCTATTATTTTATACAATTATATTAACCATAATTATTTATATCTTTTTATAAAAGTAATATATCATACATACTAACAGCATAAATATATT